AAAAAAAAAAAAAAAAAAAAGAAAGCTTTTGTTTTATAGATAATTTGGGGCTAGATCATGTGAAACAAATGAATTGAGACACTTTATATATAGCTCTACTGTCTTCCCTATCACAGTAATTTTTGAGAGCCACATGATTCTAACATAAAAATCTAACACTTTTAGAGGACAATTCAGTATCATGCTATCAACACCAATTTAAATCAGTTCAAAGACATACTTAAACACTGCAGATCTCTTTTATCATCACAACATTTCTTTCCGAGTACCCGTGGATATATCACACTTATCTAAGTGACTTACAACTAAATGAAATGAGGCTATCAAAAATTAAACAACTAGCCTTACCACAATATTAAAAGATGTCCATGAAGCAACAAAATACCAAAAAGGGGGCAGCGCAGGAATGACATCAAAGTGTAGAGTCTGCTTTGGTTTTTTCATTTTTCTTAGTGATCAAAGTTAAGTTGCTGTTAGTTTAAATACTCTGTTATAACTATAACATGCCTTCTGTAAGCCTCATGATAATCATAACACAAAAACCTATAATAGATATACTAAAAATAAATAGTGTGAAACCAAAATATACTATTAGAGAAAATCACTTAATCACAAAGGAAGACAGTAAGACAGGAATAAAGGATCCATAAAACAACCAGAAAAAAAAAAAAAAACCAAAATGGTATTAACAAGTCCCTATATATCAATAATAACTCTAGATATAAATGGATTAAATTCCCCAATTAAAAGACACAGAGTGGCTGAATGGATTATAAAATAAGAACCAACAACATGCTGCCTACATAAAACTCATTTTGCCTATAAAGACACACACCATCTGAAAGTGAAGGGATGGAAAAAGATATTTCATGTAAATGGAAACCAAAAAAGAGCAGAAGTAGCTATACCTACATCAGATAATATAGACTTCATGTCAACGAGAGTAAAAAAAGGAAGGCCATTATATAATGATAAGAGAATCAACTCAACAGAATATAAAAATTTGAAATATATATGCACCCAACACTGGAGCACCAAGATATATAAAGCAAATATTATTAGACCTAATGGGAGAGACAGACTCCAACGAAATAATAGTTGGGGACTTTAACATCCCACTTTCAGCAATGAAAGATCCCCTACACAGAAAATTAACCAAGAAACATCAGAGTTAAGCTCCACACTAGACCAATTGGACCTAACACACATTTACGGACATTCTATCCTCCTCCCCCTCCAAAAAGAACATTCCATCCAATGCCTGCAGAATACATTTTTCTCAGCAGCACACGGAACATTCCCTAGATTAGGCCATATGTTAGGTCACAAAACAAGTCTCAATAGATTAAAAAAACTGAAATCATATCAACTATTTTTTCTGACCACAACAGAATAAAACTAGAAATCAATAATAAGAAGGAACATTGGAAACTATACAAATACATGGAAATTAAACAACATGCTCCTAAACAACAAATGGGTCAAGGAAGAAATTAAAAAGAAAATTAAAAAAACTTCTGAAGACAAATAAAAATGAAAATACAACATACCAGAACCTATGGGAGGTAGCAAAAGCAGTTCTAAGACAGAAGTTTATAGCAATAAATGCTTGCACCAAAAAAGCAGAAAGACTCCAAATAAACAACGTAAAGTTATACCTCAATGAATTAGAAGAACAAGAACAAACCAAATCCAAAATCGGTAGGAGAGAAGTAACAAAGATCAGAGCAGAAATAAATGAATTAGAGATTAAAAAAAAAAACCACAAAAGATCAATACAACAAAGAGATGGTTTTTCAAAAAGATAAAAAAAACCAAACAACGAAAACCATAAACCTCTAGCTAGACTAATGAAGAAAAAAGAGAGAAGACTCAAATAAAATCAGAAATGAAAAAGGAGACACTACAACTGATAACACAAAAATACAAAGGATCATAAGAGACTATTATGGACAACCATATGCTACCAAACTGGAAAATCTAGAAGAAATGAACTAAATTTTCCAAGGTTGAAGAATAATTAGAAAATCTAAATAGACTAATAATGAGTACTGACATCGAAGGAGTAATAAAATGACTCCCACCAGCAACAACAACAAAACAGGAGCAGATTGCTTCACTGCTGAATTTTACCAACACTTAAAGAAGTAATACCAATTTTTCTCGAACTCTTCCAAAACATTGAAGAGGAAGAAATACTTCCAAACTCATTCTACAAGGCCAGCATTACCCCCATACTAAAACCAGGATAGGGCACAGCAAAAATAAAAAAACTACAGACCAATATCCTTAATGACCATAATGCCTCAACAAAATACTAGGCAAACAGAATCCAACAAAACATTAAAAACATCATTCACCATGAACAAGTGGGATTCATAACAGGGATGCAGGATGGTTCAATATGCATGAATCAATAAATGTGATATATCACATCAACAGAATGAAAGAAATATGATCATTTCAACAGAATGAAAAAAATATGATCATTTCAACAGATGCAGAAAAAGCATTTAATAAAACTCAACACCCCTTTATGATAAAAACACTCAACAAATTAGGAATAAAAGGAATGTACCTCAACACAATAAAGGCCATAGATGATCAACTCATAGCTAATATCAAACTGAATGGACAAAAGTGGAAGGCTTATCCTCTAAGATCTGGAACAAGATAAGGATGCCCACTTCCCCACTCATTCAACATAGTACTGGAAGTCCTAGCCAGAGCAATAAGGCAAGAGAAAGCAATTAATGCATCCAAATTGGAAAGGAGGAAGTCAAACTATTCTTATTTGCAGATGACATGATCATAAATTATAGAAAACCCTAAAGACTACACCAAAAAACTGCTAGAACTAATAAATGAATTCAGTATAGTGGTGGGATACAAAATCAACACAGAAAAATCAGTAGCTTTCCTATAAGCCAATAATGAAATATCTGAAAAAGATATTAAAAAAATAATCCCATTTACTAAAGTTACCAAAAAATGAAACACCCAGGAGTAAATTTAACCAAGAACAAGAACAAAACAAATCCAAAATTAGTAGGATAGAAATAACAAGATTTCTTTTTTTTTTTTTTGTCTTTTTCCGTGTCCGGCAACGGATCGCAACCCTCAG